CCCGAGGCTCACCCAAGGATCGTCGGGACCGAATGAGACCAGTAAACCCTGGCAGGGTCCACCGGTCCATGGGCCCTCTGACCAAAGGACATGTGCGAGCAAGACTTGGCTTCCGTGTGCTTCTTCAGAACCTCCTATCTGCTGCTGAAGGCCAGCGAAGACTCTGCTGGTCTCTGAAGGCCACCCAAACCCAGGGGTTTTCCCAATGGCTTTGAACATGTATTGAGAATTGAGGCCATGTCTTGACTCATATGCCCTGGGACCAGGTCCCTTGGGCATTTGACATTTCTGAGTGACAGCTCAAGGAGGTGTGTCAGATGCATGTAGGGAAAGGAAACACGCATAGGCAGCCCTCCCCTTGCGGCCTTGCAATTAGAAAACAGGACAAGCAGTCCCTCTTCTGTGCTGCGTCCCGCACCGATTCCCTGAAGCAGACCCTAATTAGGATGGACGGCTGTTTTCCACCCTGGGACTGGAAGAAAGCCTGGAAATTATCTCAGTCGCGAAGTCTCCAGCCCCGAGAACCATCAGAACTGCCACACGGATGAACAGAAAATAGCAGATGATAAATTTTTTAGGACCGCCCTCTGTGTGCCAGTTGTCTCGGACTGTGAGATAATGTGCTGGCCTTTTTGGGAACATGCATTATTGATCTGGGTCTGTCTAGCGGTTTATAAAAAGCCCCCTTTCCCCCCCACTGCCACCTTCCCATCCCTCACCTCCTGGGGGAAGGCAGCCTCCTTCAAAAGCCAGTCCTGCCATTGGAGGGGCTGGCTCATTAGGGGAAGGGAGTACAAGCAGGCACCGATCTATGCAAGTTAGTGCTTCGAGGTGGGAGCTGACAGGTGCCATGGAAAACCAGGGCTCTAAACCTACCATCCACCCATGTATCCACTTCCTGAAATTTATCTTTGGGTGTGCAAAAATGTGTGTATAAAGACACTTCTGGCCATGGTATTTGTACTGGTGAAAACTAACAAACAAACACACTAACTTAATAATAAAAGCGTAATATGCTAATTAGACCAGATGAAGCCGGGGCTGCGAGGGCTGAGGCAGTGGCTGGGAGGGCCGAGTCCCTTGCAGGAATTTTGTGCATCGGGCCTTTAGTCTAGAAATAACAGCCATCCCAGGAGACTGAAGCCGGGGCTGCGAGGGCTGAGGCAAGCCGCAGCGGCTGGGAGAGCCGAGTCCCTTGCAGGAATTTCGTGCGTCAGGCCTTTAGTCTAGAAATAACAGCCATCCCAGGAGACTGGTTAAGCAGAGCTGGGCTGGGTTCAAATCCTGTTTAACCATGTTCTAGTTGTGTGACCTTGGACAAGAAACTTCATTTCTCTGGGCCTCGGTCTCTCTATCTATAAAACAATAGAATGAATCTATGTATTTAAGCCATGGATTTCTTTGCTCTCCTCTCTCCCATGTCCTCATCACACGCACTTTTCCTACAATTGCACAGCCTACTGGCTTTGAGAGTCACAGATGCAGACTTACACTCAGATTCGGGCATGAGGCTTAGTTAGATCACGTTGCTGCAGCAAAAATGTGTTGTTTCTACAAATGGGTATTAATCACTCACCCTGGTTCAGGCCAAAAGTTTAGGAGTCATCTCGAAGCCCTCTTTTCCTGAACCCCCGACCTCTAACCCATCCATCACTGTCCCGCCCCTTCCACCGCTCTGCTCCGGTCCCAGCGTCCACCATCACCTGCCCAGTCACTGCACCAGCCTCCGAATGAGTGTCCCTGTCTCTGCTCTTGTTCTCTGCGAGCTAATTTCAACATAAAATCAGAGGGATCCTATTGAAACCTAAGGTAGATCACGGCCCTCCCCTGCTTAAGGTCCCCAATCCAGGTCTGTTTCACTAAGAATAAAATTCCAAACCTCACCATGCCCACAAGGTGCCCTGCGACCTGGTCCCGTCGGCTCCTGGCCTCAGGTCTCTCCATTTATATATACCCCAGCTAGCTCCACTACCGCTCACAACAGTCCTTCTGTCCCTACCCACCCAGCTCATTTCTAACTCCGTATCTTTGCCTGGAATGAGCCTTCCCTAGTCCTGAGGCTCCCAGGACAGTGCCCTGCACAGCAGATGCTTAATACCTATCTGTTGAGTGCGTGGAAGAACGTCAGGGTGCCTCGAATTCCCACACATAACTATGACCAAGTCACTCGAGGGGGCCCATGAGGCAGGACCAAGGTGCTCTGAAGCCCAGGTGCTACCTGCACGTGTTCTCTGCAAAATTCTGCTGGAAACAACCCTCACTTCCCTATGGCTGAGGCCTGCAGATGCCCCGTGGTTATCAACCATGACTCATGCTAAACGGTGCCGGGGAGATAGGGATCATGTCTGTCAACTTGTCAATAAAAGCTCTGGGCTCCGATTACTTCCTGGCTGCATATTCCTGTTGCTCTGATAAGCTCCCTGTGAGAAATCTATACTTGTGATCATTAATACAAATCATTACAAGAAGCGACTTGGATTTATATAAATCACCCTCTCTTGGCAGTTAAAAGACTGATTCATGTTTTTAATAACGGACCCAAAAAGGGTGTGGATTTGCAGTTGGATCTCCATCACAATCTTACATTTGGTTGCACAGGCTTGTCCAGTAGCCCTTTAATTTGATTGCCACCAGTGATATTTGGTTGTCCTTTGAGAGCGGGCAGAGGCTAAAGGCCAAACCCTCACCTGGTCAACTACTGGCCCTCCTCACCACAACCCCGGAGAGCCTCCGGGGTCTGGCTCTATCCTCGCTCTCCAATCTCACTGCCTTCATCCCTTTCCCAGGCTCCAGCCACATCTGTCTCCTTGGCCCTGCCTCAGGGCCTTTGCACATGTTGTTTCCTCTGCTTAGGAGGTTCCCCCCCTGCCCCCGCCAGATATTTACAATACACAGTAGTATTGATGATGAGAAGGGAAATCTAATTTACAGGAGAAGGAAAATGGGAAAGGCTCGTGTGCTGTCCTGAACGGCGGCCACAAGCCACAAATGGCTAGTGGGCACCTGAAAGGTGAGTAGTCCTAATTGAGATATGTTCTCTAAGTGCAAAATTACACGCCAGATTTTGAAAACAATATGAAAAATGTAAAATACTCCATTAATAATTTTTTCTATTGATTACACGTTGAGATGATACTACAGGTACAGTGGGTTAAATTAAATGTCATTAAAATTAATTTCACCAGTTTCTTTTTTAGTTTCTAAAAAATGTAGCGATTAGAAAGTTTTAGATTACTTATGTTATCTGCATTTACGGCTGGCATTATCATTTCACAGGGCAGCGCTGGTGTAGGATTTAATGTAGAGAAATGGAACCAAGAAAATCAGTAAATTCAACAGGGAGAAGGCACAAGATAAGAAGAACGGTTTCCACTTGGGAGAGCCTCAAAGGTGGGCTGGAAACATACATGCAGATTGAGACAGGGGAGTAGAAAGTCCAAGTGAGACTTTCTGGAGGCCTCACTCTCGGTGGCCTCATTTATGGGGTCTCTTTCCCATGCAAATGAAGCCACCCACAGCTTGGGTGGAGGAGCCCATGTCTTATTGAGGAAGGCAGGGGGGATGGTTTATACCAGTGGTCGGCAAACTGCGGCTCGGCAAACCGCGGCTCGCGAGCCACATGCGGCTCTTTGGCCCCTTGAGTGTGGCTCTTCCACAAAATACCGACTTCTGCACATGGGCCTCGAAGTTTCAATCGCACTGTATGTGCGCGCCCACACGTGGTATTTTATGGAAGAGCCACACTCAAGGGGCCCAAGAGCCGCGGTTTGCCGACCACGGGTTTATACAATAAACCAAAGGTGTGGCCCAGGAGTGGCTTGTGTGAGGAATAAAGGGGAGGTGTGGAAGCCTGAGCTGGAGAAGCCCTGGGGCACAGCCTTGCCGGGCCTGCCTGCCATCTGTGTAAGTGGTCTAAACTAGGCAAGGGCCCGTCTCACCCGCTCTACCTGGAGCCCACAGTGCTGCGTGGGGAGGAAGCTCAGGACCAGAGACAACATCTCTGTGAACTGGGTCAGGTCACTGCCAACAGGGATGGCTTCCTGCCCCTGGATGCCACCCGGAAGCTGAGCCCACCCACAGCTGTTGAGGTGGGTGGAGCAGGGGCTCACACATGTATGTGTGTATTCCTATGCACGGGAGGGTGGTTCCGTCTGTTCAGTGTCAGCACAAACATTACCACCTCCGAGAGCCCTCCCTGATGACCAACCCAAAGCAGCTCCAACCACCGTGCCATCCAGCACAGCGCCCTCTTCAGGTTCACAGGAGCATTGCTCCTTCTTGAAGTTATTCTAATTAATTAATAATTAATTTTCTAAGCCCTGACTGTGACCCTGGCCTGACCACTGGGCACAGACGCTCAGGCAGGAGAGCGAGGGTGACAGGGCAGGACCAAGCCTCGCTCTGCCAGGAGGGCCCAGAACGACACGGAGTCCGATGGGTTTCAGTCCCTCTTTCCAGCTGTGGGACCCCCTTCAATCCCTTCATTTTAAAATAACGTAAAACGGCTATTATGATACACACACAGGCTTATCTAATGAGATCGTGCTTGTGACACTGCTTTACAAAACATCCAGCACCATCAAACCTAAGGAACCACGGGCATCACTTCATTTTACATGTGAATGGCAGTCGCACGGATGGTCTGTCTCCCTCCCTCCCTGAGCGCAGGCCTGTGCCTTCCTCATCATTCCTGAGGCTCCAGGCCCTGGAACCATGCCTGGCACATGGCAGGTACTCAACAGAAATCAGAGGAACATATGAACTGGTCTTAACGTGTCTTCTTCAGAAGGGTTTGGAGAAATCCAGGAAGGGTTTTGCATTAGGAAAAGGCTGGAGACCCCTCACCTTGCGAGTCCACAGGTGTGGGCCACCCCTGTGACTTGGTTAAATCCACTAGAAGTGACTCTACAGCTTGACATGAGCACCTGCGTCGGGAGCCTTCGCCCCAGCAGGTGGCCCTGGGGGCCCGGGTAGGTGCCACCTGCTGGCCGGGTGCTTACCGAGCTCGACGTCCTGGTCATCTGTGAGCACCAGGATGATGTTGGGGCGGATGTTTCTGCGGTCCCTCTGGAACCTGCCTTTCAGGCGGTGGTGCGACAGGAAGGAGGAGCTCCCGCCCAGCAGAGGGAGGACAGCGGCGGAGAGCAGGCAGAGCAGGAGGCCGGGGCGGGCCATTTTATGTTTCTGTTGATCTGTCCCTTCTTGCAGGAGGCAGGAGTCTGGAGCTGCGCCTGGTGGACTTGTTCCTTTGCCCTCTTCCCTCTCTGCTCACGGATCTAAAGGAGCAGGAAGAGAACCAGGTCAACCTTTCGGTACGGCTGTGGCCGCTCAGACTTGCATAACGAGGCGTCCGATGGCCTCTGGCACGGACAGGGACAGTTTATCTGATCAGGGCGGCTCTAGCCGAGCAAACATCTAACACGGCTCAAGTGACGAGAAAAGTTATTTGCCATTTGCTCAGCAACAGGCCGGTGGGGAAGCCTCCAGTGACCACTTCTGCAGCCAGAACTGTCCCCTGGACCCGCGGGCGGCTGGATGTGCTGGTGGCAGCTCAAGCCCCAAGTCCGATGGTCAGCCGGTCACTGAACCACACAACCACTTCCACAGACAAAGCACCCCAGAGAAAGGAAAGGAAGCAGCCCACTTTGGGGGAGCGGCCTTTTCTGGCCATCTCTTCTCAGTGGGCAGACGGGAGGGGGCTGCAGCCGGCTCCCAGGCAGCCTGTGGCTCAGGGCGGGGCCGGGAGAGCAGGGCGGGAATGGCGCCCATCCACTCTGGGCTGGACGGCTCCCCATGCTTCAGCCCCGACTCCATCACTCACCAGCTCGGTTTCCCCGTCAGTAAGCCAGTGGGGGACATGGGGAGACACGGCTGTTATTAGAACCTGATGCAGTCGGGATGTGTGTGAAGGCTACCTGCCAACACCCAGAGCTGGGCAAGTTATTCTATTAGTTTTAGGTCGAATAAACAAAATGACAGAAGAGCTGTCACATTCCACTGTGACCTCAGTCACCCCCCCATCCCACCACACCCCAGGTCAGGTCACACGCAAAGCTGGGGGACGGGCGGCGGGGGGTGTGTGTGTGTGTGGGGGGGTGAGCTTGGCGCAGGCAGGTCTCTGCGGTCATTTTTCTATTTCTTGAGGAAATGAGCCTTCAAGTCCTGTCCAGATAGAGACTTTTGGTCTCATTTATTTAAGGCACGCGAGAGAGAGAGAGAGAGAGAGAGAGAGAGAGAGAGAGAGAGCAGACGTGTTGAGAGGAAACCAAGCTTGATGGAGTCAGGCTGAGTCACCCTCCTTGTGACCTTGAAGGACCATGGGGAACCCCACCCCAAGGCTCAGGGAGCTCGGCAAGGGCCCCAGTTTCTGCAGAGCGGAATGCTGCCTTCATTTCTCCTTGGGGCTACAAAAGCCTTTTGCGGGGTCTCCTCCCTGTCCCCACCCTTGGCCCCTTCCTTTGTCCCCAGGGCAGCCAGTGTGAATTTCCGAAAACTGAAACCAGGTCATACCACTCAGTGAGGCACTCACTCCAGGCGGTACAAGTGCAAGGCACTCATCTCACCCTTGACCCCGTCACTTACTTGCTTAGACCCTCCCCTGGCTTCTCAGGGCTCAGGCAATAAAATGCAAACTCCCCACCAGGCCACCAGGGCCCATGTGATCCAGCCCCTGCCCACCTTTCCCCCTTCATCTCAATTGCTCTCCTGCCCCACTGGCTTCTTTCTGCTGCTTGGACAAGTCAAGCTTGTTCCTGCCCCAGGGCCTTTGCACTTGCTCCTCCTTCAACCTGGAAGAGTCTGTCCCCAGATTTTGTATGATGGGCTCATTCCCCGCTGACGAGTCTTGGCACAAATGTCACCTTCTCGGAGAGGCTGCACTGACCACCTATCAAAAGTGGTGCCTGCCCCCACCCGAGGCATTCTCTGTATTGTATAACCTGTTTTATTCCCCTAAATCCCTACTACAACCGGCAATTGTCTTATTTACTGCCCAGTCCCCCACCACCCCCCCACTGAAGGGTCAGCTCCATGAGGACAGGAAGTGGGCCCGTGTTAATCACAGCTTTGTCCCCAGCACCTGGGATTGTGCTTGGCACGTAGCAGGTGCCAAATACATATTCAAATAAATAAAGGAGTGGAGGTTTTGTTAAGGTCCTCTGAGCTCTGCTGGGCTCGGCAGGGCTGCACACTAACCTGGGTCCCGAGGCTCAGTGGCTCGGAGACCTCTGGCAGCAATGCCTTCCCCATCACCCTTCCTGGCCGCCAAGGAGGAGTTGGCTACTCTGTGGTTGAAAAGACCCCAGGAAGGGTCGAGGGGTGGCTGATCTTTGTCCCCTGGTCCATTCTCCGTCCTGCTCGGTGCCCCAGGAAGCAGAACGCTGCAGACTGCATCTCTGGCTTCCTGCTGGTTCCGCCAGTGGAAGCCCTGCTGGGAGGCTGCAGGGCGGGAGGAGTGGGCAATCAGCATCCCTACTCTCCTCTGCTCCCTCTCCAGCAGCAAGTGGCTCCCAGCCCTGTGGCTCTCCAGTCTGCCCGCAGTTCCAGCCGGGGCCCCTCCCAGCTCCAGCTGTCCCCCAGTTCTGGGTGTCCGTCCCCACTCTTGCCCTCTGAGCCTGGGGCAGTCATGGCTCCCCTCTCTTGCTAGTTCCCGAGAGCTGCACCATTCCTTGTCTGCTCCCTATCCCCGGCTCCCTAGCCTGCCTCTGAGAGCAGTGCCTTCAATCCCCTCTCCCTAGGGGAGCAGGGGCAGGCTCCACACAGGGCCCCCCGCCTCAGGGGCCTCCGACAGGACATCACGTTATCAGGGCAGCTGACTGAGAACCGTGAGTTTCATGGGGCTGGAGGACAAGCACCGACTTCCATCTTCATCCCCAGAATCTGCAAAACACACGTCTCTCGGCGGCCAGAGCCCTTGCATCCGCCGTGCACTGGGCACCTGCTTGGTGCCACGTCGTGTGCCAGCTAAGATGTGGACTTGGGAGTTACTTGCTGGGTGACCCTGGGCAAGTAACTTAAAAACACCTCTGTGTCTCAGTTTCCTCATCTATAAAATGGGTGAAAGGGATTAACGAGTTAATAGAGTGCTGAGACCAGTAGTGCCTGGCACATGGTATTGACCGGAACACATCGCTGACAGTGTGACCTGTTATTAGGTTATTACTATCACTGCAGCTGGGTCTTGCGTCGGGCACTCTGTTCACAGCATCTTGGTCCATCCCCACACCTCCTGCCTCACACAGGCACTAGGCCAGTATTATCCCCATTTTACAGCTGAGAACCGGTGAGGCCTAACGGTCCTATGATGATCCCGAGAGAAAGTGACAGAGACAGGGTTTGGCCTCTGCTCTCCCTGCTCAGCGTGGGCCCTTCACCATTAATCTCACGTATCCCAGCTTCTTCCACTCCAATGCCACAACCCCGACGTCTGCCCTTCCCGCACAGTCCTTCCATTATCTGCTTTAGGCGCTTCTTTAAAGGAACGCATTTGAAAATAAAAACATAAGTACGTGATTCTGAAAAAGGAAACGTATCCAAGGATAAATGGAAAATCAGCAAACCTTCTCTGTAGCAGGGAACCACGCAAACAAAGTCAAAGAAAACAGACACAGTGTTAACTCGGTCTCACAGCATCACAGCATCGAGTTCATGTTGAAGGCTCCAAGGCCAGCCCTGTCTCGCCCGTTCTTGACCTGCCCTCTCTATTTAAGGGAGATGAGCAGGTATTAAAGGCGTCAACGCATATTAGCACCATCTCTCCTGGAGGTAGTGGGAGGCTTTGGAGAGGTGGAAAGGAGGCAAGCTCTAGCCATCTAACGAGTCCCTGAATTATCCCAGATCATGGGGTCCTCAAATCATGCTGTTTATGGGTCCATGTGCCCCCTGGAAAACACACCAGGATGCTTTGTGCTTTGTACACCCATTAAAATGCACATTCATGCTCCTTCAGGTTGACTTTGAGGGATCAAGTATCGAGAGAATTGCCACGGGATGCCCTACACACAGCAACTCTCTTATACCAGAAGCGATAACAGCAAATGCTTATTGGCAGTTGGCAATGCTTCCGAGGGATCAAGTATCGAGAGAATTGACACAGGATCCCTACAGACAGCAACTCTCATACCAGAAGTGATAACAGCAAATGCTTATTGGCAGTTGGCAATGCTTCAACTCGTTTCATCTGCACATCCACCCACTGATATCACACGCATGTTAATGTTATGAACGAGGAAGCTGAGGCCCAGAGAGTAACACACTTTCCCATGATCACATGCTCAGTGGGTGGCGGGAATTAGCCTGCTCAACCAGAACCTCCTTGAAGTAGATCTCTGGGCAAGTTCCTCAGTCTCCTAGCCTCCGTTTTCATATTTGCTCAATGACGGAGTAGGTGGCCACCAGGTGCCCCCGAGGGCCTTTTTGGCCCTGGGCCTGTGATGTGAGGTCCCGGGGAGCTGGGAGCTGCAGCCTGTATTGGGAGCCCTGGGCCAGATGGTGGGTGGAGCTGGGAATGTGTGCAGGGCACCTGTGTTGTCTTCTTAGCAACCCCTGCCCCCCTTTCTGGGCAGCGACAGTCCACCCGTCAGGATGCTCCTGCTCTGGATGGAAGTCAAAGCTCTGCAACCAGAGAACAGGAGCTAATTATTTCATCAGAGCAAGTCATCAATGGGCCGATTTTGATGAATTCCCCGGCTCTGACTTCCCCTGGCCTTGTGCCCGTCTCTCTCCAGATGCCGAAGGAATCAATGAAAAAATGACACAAGGGGTTCTGCCTCCATTTTTCTCCCTCTTGGTAAAAGATTTGAAGTCGCCGAACCGAGAGAGGATCTGGAGAATCCGTACAGATGACCGTGTTCTGTCCGTCTCACGGACACCCCCTCATCCCACCGGCTTGTGGCAGGCAGGGTCCCTCCAGCCCCTTCCCTTCACCCAGTGTTTTCTCACAGACCTTCCCAGACCAGGATGACATCTCAGGAAACGCCTAACGTCCCAAGCGTTCGGAAACATCACCCCGCGTCTGGGTCTATCTGCCCATCTGCAGAGAGGAGCAGGTCTGAGGGTGACCGACAACCCCCACCCCTGCATACCACAACTTTGGGGAACCTCTGGGACCTCCCCAGGCCTGTCCAGGAAGACTCAGATAGCTGTTTTCCTCTGGGGATCCTGAATCCAACCAGAGAAGTCAAGAGGAGGTTGGAAATGATCAGGCAGCTGAGGGGGGTGGGAGAGGAAGTGGCCAGAGGCAGGACAAGGCATTGCCCAGACAGGAGAACGCACAGGG